CACACACACACACACACATCTGTTCAAAAGAGGAAGACCCGGCATGTGCTGCGTCTTGGCTTTGGTTTGCGTTTGAGCAGCCAGCTCCTGGCAGCAGAGAAAGCGCACGTGGTTTTCATCATGATTTACAAGTCTCAGGGAAAGATGCCATCTCTGGTTGAAATCCCGCGAGGCGTCAGGAGGCACTGAGCAACGGCGTTAGAGCTCATGGCACAAAACCTCTTGCGTCTCTCGTGGCAAGCCATGGGCACGCTTCTGCTTGTGTTTCATCCTGCTGTGTGCACCGGGGCCCTCCCAATTCCACACCCTGCATTTCACCTGGTTTTACCCGCGGGCAGGGTGAGGCCCCCAGCGACTTGCCCTTTCCTTTCTCTGTGCACTCCATTCTGTTACCCAGGGACTCGCTTGTCAAGGAACGTGCCAGTGCCAACGTAACCTCCACCAGTCTGTTTCGCGGTTCCCATCCCCCTTGACCCAGTTAACACCTTACCTGCCGAATGGCTGGCATTGTAGTTCAATGTCTTCGCAATAGGGTTCCTTCGCCCCTAAATAGCTCCGTGTGTGTCTCTCGTTATTTTCTAAACTGTGAATTGGGTGAAGGTTTATAGGGAAAATCCATTTACAGGGAAAATCCATTACAGGGTTTTCCATTCAACCGTGCATATGCATATTTTGCTTCCCATCATTGATTGCAGCCCCCCACCACGTAACATCACTTATCCCATTTGCTCCCTGCACTTCCTGTTTCCGCTCCTCCTCCCCTAACCTTTCTAAATGCTGTCCTTGGTCCACCGAGATGCAATGTTGCCCTTTTGATCTCAAATGGTTGATAATTCTAAGGCCTATCCTCATCAATCGGGTTATTATTCTCCTTAGAGACCTGTCTTTGGGAGAAAGACGGGACTTATTACTCCCACACAGAGTTACCGTTTCAGAGACTCACAGGGGCAGTTCTACCCTGTCCTTGAGGGCCAGGATGAGTCGGCACCCACTCGATGGCAGGGAGTTTGTGTTGTATAGACCTATTGTTTTGCTGAAACTTGGGCCACAGGAGTGAGTTTAGTTCCAGCCCTGGAGGATGTCTAATGACCTGGTTTCAGGAATTCTACCAATCTCTAGCTGACCGGTAAGCGGGGGCTCCTTCATGATTGTGAGTGCTGTCCACCTCCCCCCGCCCTGCTCTACCCAGGACCTTCTAATGCGATCCAGCACTTCCGGGGTCAGGGATGTGGAAACTGACGTCTGTGTGGTTCATGAGTCCATGGGACCACTTGTTCCCCGTGTCTTC